CACAGACACACTCGATATATACATATACACGGATATAATATGTGTGTATTAACTTGTTCCTCCGTTTTCATTCTACACACTCGACTATTACTTACTCGTAATTTAATCATCTTTCACTAATTCGGGGATCCACGGCTGTATCCATTATAGTGGAACACTTTTTGGCATATTTCTCTGTTAGTCCCGCTTCATTCCTTTCACTGGTAAACGTTTTCAATAGTAAGAAACGCAGCCTCGTTCATGCTCACATTATTTCCTGCACATTCACTCGCGATCAGTGTATCACAACCATGCGCGTGAGTGTTTCCCTCCTGGCACCGTCGTCATCGCGTCTTTGATATTCCTTGCTACAATTTTCTTTATTTTTATCTTCCGATGAAGAGATCGACGTACACGCCGTTGCTTCCGAAGGTTGGATCGTTTTAAAGCTGAGTGCGTCGATGCGGATAGTCGAAACGACGATTCTTCGTCGAAACGTTTCGATTCAGAAGACTATTAATATTTCAGATTGGATATACTCGATGATATACATATTGCGATTCGTTCCGCGTCTCTCGTTACTAGGCTGCGGATTTTTGTCCGAAATAAAACTCGTAGGGTATCGATTTAATCCTTTGCACTCCGAATTTTATTTCAATTTCGTTACCAGCAGCTCCCAACGTTTTTAAGTGTTCTATTTGAAATTTACTTTAAGTAATAAAGAAGGCAATTTAAATAAATAAACGAAGAAATAAATTCACTTAAATACCAGTTTTATTCATACTATTGTTGTATTTTGTAATTTTCAAGTGTATGATATCTCTTGAAACAATTTTCAGGATTCAATCCTGGTTTTCTTTCGCACGTTTCATCTATTGATTTCGACATGAAAGAATATCGAGTGAGACTCGACAAAGGAGCTCCTGAGATAAAAACTGATGTCGAGTCACACTCGACACAGGAGTGCAAAGGGTTAAGAAACGATATTTAATAAGAGTATCCTTTAATCTTTTAAACGTTGTGCCATGCATTCTGCTTGATTGTTTCGTTCATTATATGTATTTTTTCAAATCCGCAGTCTACACATTAATTTACAATTTGAAGCGTTACATCGTTCCTAATTAGATCCTCTATGTCTACGTATCCGTCGAGCCAAGACCCTAACATCACATTAAAAACGATACGAGATTTCCTAAGTGTTCACGGTCAACTGTTTCCAAGCTTTGTGGAATAAAATTTCGCATTGAAATCTCGCAGTATCGAGGGAACAGAATAAAATGCGCCCGTCACCCTCTCTCTCGAAAAGAAAATTCCCAGACGACCAACGCTGCTTTTTAATCGCTCTTCCCACCCCGTGTCGTCATCGTTTCCCCTTCGTCTTTTCAGTTTTTAAGCTCGAAATCCTGCGTCTTCGTCCCAGCCCGGTTTCCTCTGCCGCGAATGCACGCGAACCTCCCCGCGGGTGTACGTCTACGCATTCGCATCCCCCTTGACTTGGCACAAACAACAAAGTCTTTGTAAAAAAGGCACTATTTTTGTAAAGCGAAACAGTCACGCGTTACATCACGTCTCGTCGCCCTTAAGATACCCTCTTTTCATTCTTCCCATGAGTCGACGCGTATAGGGGGATACTACAGTCTCTGCAAAAATCGGCACGAGGCCATCCCGAGTGTCTACCACTTCTTTCAGATATTCTCGAAACCAGCTCAGGTTCTTGGATCGATTTTTCGTCCAAGAAGACTTCTCGTAATTTAGTTATTATTCCCCTGTTCGCGTCTGATCATCGGTACACTTTCCCTTACGATTCGCGAAGAAGAAGAATAAGCCAGAGCTACAGGAAACGTGGAAACTACCGCTCGTAGAGAGTTTGGCTGTGTTAATTCTACTTGTCTCACCAGTCGATCGTAGAAAATGTTCAAAGGTGCGATACGGTTCGAAGTCCCTCGCAGGTGTATAAGTGGTTCAATATGTATAAAAAACGTTTAGTCTCAGTCTTATTGTAGTTTTAGTGCAAAAGCGTGTATAGTAGATCCTCCGCTTAGTCGGTCCGATTGGAAAAACTGGTAATTTGTAAACGTATATATAAACATCGGAACGGTGTGTACAGTGTATATAATACAGGTATAAAAATTTTGAATAGAAGTCTGCAAGAATCCGATCCTGTTCCTCTTCCGTTCGTTTTGGACGCACCCGAGGGCGAAAAAGAAGAGCAGAATAATAGAAAGTGTCTCTCGTTTTCTTTCTCTCTCTCTCTCTCTCGTCCTAGAATAACCCGCCTCAAAGAGTCGTTTTACTACTGACAAGTAGAGAAAGCCGTGCTCGTTCGCTGTTCGAAGAACGATAAAACGGAACACAGAGAATCGCGTTTTCCCACGGATAGCGAGGGAAATCGCCCAGGGAAAGATTTTTCTTTCTAGGAGAAAACTCGCGTCCTCTTAACAATGTTAGAAAAAGTCAAGGACGATACGTGGCGAGGAAACGTCGGGAAAAGTTTATCCCGCGTGATTTCTCTCATAAGCGTGAGAAAGTTTCAGCTCTCCTCTTTCCGGCCGGTCTTCAGATCTGTTGCAACTGTGTCAATTTGTTCTTTTATCAGGGAAACACAGTGACGTTAGTATGGATAGAGAAATTCGATAATCGTTTGTTTCTTTCTTTACGGAATCATTATTATTTTTATTTTATCATTCGAGAGTGATCTCCCTTGAACAAGACGACTCGCCTGTTTCCATCGTATCCAGTGAATTCCAGTCCCGTCTGATTTTAATTGAACGTCGTTTTTAAGACGATCCAGTATGATAATAAATATACGGGCGATAACATCGACGGAACCTGGTTCATCCGATAGAACAGAAGCAGTAGATTCACATTTGACGTACTATATAAATATAGCTCGAAAGACGCTTTATTACAAAGTTACAGTAGGTTGCATTTCGCTAAATCGAGACAAATACAGGTTTCCAACGCAATCTGGCTCGAGTCCACGAGATATCCATCGAGTTGGGGATATGCATTCTCCTCCACTCGCATCGTGTTTCCCTTTAGATCATTCCTCGCAGAACATATTGACACAAATTAGATCACGAATTGTCAATCTTCGAAATAAACCAAAATGTATTTTCTCTAAATTATACTTCGTTCTGGATTTTGGCAGTGATATATAATACATATATGCATAGAAATTACGCTTACAGAGTTGCGAAAGTATAAATACGAACTGCGAAGCTGAAATGGTAAATGATGGAAAGAAAGAAAGTAAAAGACTAATTTCTATTGAAACAGGGATCTTTTATCATTTCAGTTTCTTCTAGTGATTAGTAATTGCTGTGAACAATGAAGAAATATTCGCAAGGCGACAGGAAAGAAGAAAACTTTTTTCTAAAAAGTATCCATCGTTCTTCGAACAGCAATTCAATTCCTTACGGTCTAACTAATCTTTATCAGTGGGCGCTCTCTCTCGCGTTCCCATTGCTTTTTCCGCTCATTCTCTCCCTCGCATTCTTGCCTTTTCTGTCACTCATTTGAAATCGCACACATAGAAAAAGAAAACATTGAAAACGAATTACGCGTTACAGACATTGACACAGCCAAATCTTTGTTTGAACATCTCCGTCTCAACAAGCATAGCGCGAACCGCGAGCAAGTTCCCTCCCGCGACAGCTCGAATCTCAGATCGCTGTTGGAAGTAGTAATGCTCGGTACAAGAGTTTACAGGATGAATACCGCGAAACTCTCTTAGAATTCTTGTTCGTCCGCGCAATGCCTTACCCCGTTGTCTATCTCGATGTACCCTTCCTTAAAGATGACGATTTTTATTCTTTTGAGAAAACGGTAAACCGACTAAATTTGGACATGTACCAAAAACCAGTTCTGTTCGTTTACTTATTGTTAAAACGCGAGAAGTTCAGAAATTTGTTCAGAAATGGAATAATGCTCGGTAGAAGAAAAATCGACATCTCATCGTGATTTCGAAGACCGATCCCTTCTTATTGGAAAGCAACTCGTTCCGTTCACCCTGCCAGTCACCCACCCTCTCCTCTCGTTCGATACCGAACCCACTTGAACACTTGGTGGATATTGCGTTTGTGCGTGCACCGGACGAATCCCGTCACGCGGCCTTGAGAGTCGAGGATCGCACGGTTCGCACCTGTTCCTCCCCTTCTCTCTCTTCCACGTGCATACGGCAGTGTCCGAAAATATGGTCACACTTTCGTCCGGATATATGGCCGCGAGTCATCCCGGCAATTCCTGGTATAGTCTCGAGTCTTATCTATCTTCTTCTTGCCTCTCTCTCTCTCTCTCATTATCTCTTATTCATACTGCGCATTCGGATGATCGATTCTAAATCCGGACACTATTGTGCTTCGTTTAAAATTTTTCTATACTGCCTCTGTACTGTTTGAATTAGGAAAAACGTTGTTTATGTCTTCATGGAGATTGACGAATTACAAGGTGTGTAAATTATGTAATGAGACTGGCTTTTTAATTTCTTTATGCGAATAGAATTACATTTACCAATATAATAATCAATATTAAATTGTAATTCTATTCGAATAAAAGAACTTTAAAAAATCAGTGTCATTACTTAATTTACACACCTTATATATTTTGCATTTATAAATCGAAGAGGTCGAGTAAATGGAAGGGGAGGTAGCCAAACCGAGCGAGGATATGCAAGATTGACCGCGCGACGGTTTCCCGAAGACGAATAAGAAAGCTACGGAGGATTTCATGGACCGGTCCACGTTAATCCACGGCGAGTCGTCCGGTTCGTCGCACAGAATCGAAACGTAGCCCGTTCTGGCTGACTAAAAAGACACACACCGCGTTCCCCTCTCGATCCAAGTCAGCCGTCGCGATCTATCTACTTAACTGCCTACTATATTAACGAACACTGGCTCTCCGTGGCTCCTGTGTCCAGCGATCGGATCTCAACGAGTAATTATTATCAAGGATCCAGATAACAAATCGATCGAATTCAATGGCAAGCTCGAAGTGATCGAGATCAACGTTTACAAATGAAATCTTAAAAGATGATCGACTCCGATCGCTATCACGCGTACGCGTGTATTAATGTACACTCGAGTAGGCGTGTAACTCGGAGGAAACGACTTTACCCTAACTCGCTGCCTTTCTTCCTCCCTTACTAACGATCACTTCGTTCTCTTCCCTCGTCTTGCGTAAGCTGATCACATTTGCAACTGACGCAACTGGTTCGTTTGGTAAAAAATCTCTGAACAGAAACGTACGCGGTTGTTCGTATTATATTTTACGTATGTACGTTTCTCGGCCTGTACAAGAGAAATGAAAAAGAAAAGAAAAGTAAAGAGAAAAGAAAGACATCGCGTGCCTCCTCGTTCAGTCCGTGGTACACCTGTACATGCGATAAACATAATACATAATAATAATAATTAGAATAATAATAAAAATAATAATAATTATATAATAAAAATATTAATATAATAATAATGATAATAATTATTATAATTTTATATATATATATAATATTTCTGTATGTATATATATATAATTTTCGTTTCTATATACAGAAGGTAGCCAATTAATTACTACGTCGCTCGTTAAATGTTTCGTTTGGATCCCCGTGTCGAGCTTTTTAGAAAAAACATCACATAAATTACATTAGAGACCAACAACGTTCTAAGATCGACTCAGAGTCCCGGATCTCCCATAGCCAGCCTAATCATTTCATGAACCTTGTTCCTCCGTTACGAGCACATTTTCCTTTCAATCATTTTATATATACTCGTTCTATGCTCGCCCTTTCATTCTCACTCGGCACACGCGTGCACACCGTTTTATCACTATTCCTTCATCTTCCCGTCGATCGAAATTCGCAGCCTATTATATGTATATGTATATATGTATAGATGTATATATGTATATGAACGATCCACTTGTTTCTCGCTGAATATCCCTTTCGCGCGGTACAGCATCCGATTAATAAAAGTTACTAACTGGTAGATGTAGTGATTAACCGAATGATAGAATTAGCAGCAGTTTTGTCCACCTTATCACCTAGGGGTCGGGGGGTTTGGTCTTGGGGCTCGAATATCAACTGTAGATCGTTTGTCAGTGGTAATAAAAATTGTAGAAAGTAAAACGCGGGTAGTCTCGCCTAAGAACGATTAAAAAACGTTTCCTCTCCTTATAGATATTTCGCTAATTATTTTTCCGTCTCGTGTTTCCTAAACCTAAATGTTTCTGTGGATGATTCGAAATGGTGTTTATTTTTCCTTTTCTCCGTTCCCACGCGCGGAGAAATGGTTCGTCGGAATTAACGTCTGTGATTTTTTTTTCAGTCGGTTTGCGTGGCGACTCGACGCGCCGCATCGATTCTTCCAAAAAAAGAGAAAGAAATGGCTCTTCTCTCACCCTTTCGTTCGTTCTCCTTTCACTCACGCACGCACGCACGCACGCACGCACGCACAACTGCACAGTTATACATACCCTTGTTGCCGCAAGAAATTAAAACAAAAGAGTTCGCGCTCCTCCCCATTCTTCCTTCGTTCATGCTCCCTTCCGTGCTCATCTCCACGCGATAGCATGATATTTTATGTATATATATGTATATATATGTATATATAAAGTCTCTACGTGTACAATCTTATGTATAGTCTTCGAACAAAGTCTCTTGGTGAGGCGTTCATGCGTTTCTCGTCGCAGATCCACTAGGCGGAAACGGGTGGACGTGGCACCCCTCTTCTCCCGTGCTCTCCGCGCACTTCTCCCTTTAACCCCTCGCTTCGCTTAGGTCGCTGCTAGTTTTCCCTGTCTGTCTGTCTGAGGTATTCTATTTCTGCGAGATGCGTGATTAATAAAAATATTCGCTAATTCGCAATCGGTAATTAAAAATAGCGGCGTCGGTTATGAAAACGGTGCTGAGAATGTCCACGAACGATCGAACTCATCTTCGACCCGTGGAAGTTTCAGTCTTCGCGTGATCCGTGTATTGGAAACTGTCCTCCTGAGCTATTTCGTTTCGTGAGATTCAATTTTCGTGTGACCGCGATATCGATCCAGTAAAAAATGGGCGAGGGAAATTGGAGAGGCCCGACGTGAAATGTTTCCACGTGGACGATCTCACCACCGTTTCTAGTGGAACGACCGAGGACAATCCTGTAAAAATAAACTTTCGCGCATGGTACAATCTTTTCTCGTTCTGTGCTTCTACTTCTGTCGCGTCGCCCCGGGCGAAACGAAGGGTCAAAGGCTCGATGGACGACGACGATACTCTCGCCGTCGTCGTTGTTTTCCCGTGTTTCGACGTCCAGTCGTGGTGTTTCAGGCGGCAGTAGAAAGACGGCTCCCTCCGCTATCTCGCCGGGCTCACTTGGGCACGCGGTAGTAACGTAACACCAGATAGCCCAGGGTGCGGAACACGACTAGAAACGCGAGCAGCACCGCCGTGTTCGCCCACAGTGGAAGACCGGAACCCCTGCCGCCTTGAACTTCCAGGATCGCGGACACTGGTATCGTCGTCGAGTTTCTACACTCCGCGAACTTGCTTGGCTGCGAGCATCTGTGGGCGCAGAACGAAACACGGTGCTTGAATACGGCCTAATGTGCTGGGCCGACTATCTCGGTCAGCCACGCTAAGTGGTATGCGACAAAAGTTATAGGAACAACGGCCAACTCTGTTTCAACCGTATAAATCGTCGTACGAATTTAGTATTCGATAGATGATCTGTTTCGAGAAATTGTTACGATTTCTCATGCTTCGAATATTTAAAACTACTTGAGATATGATATTCTCATTTTATTGTACAATTTGATCCGTCGTCCCTTCACGAAATCTGAAGGGGATCAATTTCGACTAATCGGATTAACGCATCGTCGCGGATCATTGAATAGAATATGACGTCGGGGCTCGGAGAATTTCACGTTCGCCAAAGTGCGAGGTCTCAGTCAGCCGAGTTAGACTTTGCTCACTGAATGATACATACACGGTGTCACGGTTCATCTTCCTTTGTCATTTACACTCGACGTTTCTTTAATTCAATTAGAGGGTCGCGGAATAAAATCAATTTTTGACTTCCGAGCTGTCTGGATAACGGGAATAATTAATTCTGGCGGAGCGTCGCGATTAATATTATATTCCTTTAAATATTGAACATCGCGATTTTGTCTTATTAAAAAAAAATGCATTGTCCTACAATATACTAAATAGTTCACTCGATTCCGAGTGCTCTGATTTACATTTAAGGATGTATAGGCTA